TAATGTGGGTGGGGTTGGAGTTGGGGGGGATGGGTTGTGTTGGGAGGGGGTAGGAGGATAGGGTGTAGGGGGGATATCGTTAGGAGGAGGATGGATATCGGCAGTCACTTGGTGTGCGGAGGAAGCAGGAATTGTAGGATTTGAAGGTTGATGGGGGTCAGTTTTCATTAAGAAGTCTTGGATATTTTCAAGAGTTTCTTCAATGGAGTTGGTTGGGGAGTTTTGTGGGATAAAGGATTTCTTGTGAGGGGGGGAAGAGAATGCTGGTGTCTCAAGAGAGTTTTGGGGGATAAAGGATTTCTTGTGAGGGGGAGAAGAGAGGACTGGTGTCTCAAGAGTAGGGGCAAAGGATGATGGAGGTGATTGTGTGGTAGGGGAAGAGGGGGTGGAACGTTTGTTCTGTCTGTTACGGGGAGTGCGAGGAGGGAGAGGGGAAGGTGTTGGGGTTGTAGTGGTGATTGGGGTATCTGTAGTAGAGATTGGAGTTTCTGGATTTAGGATGGCAAAAGAGTTTGACTGGGGAAGGTAGGTGGGGTTAGTGGGGGGGTTAGATGTAGGAGGGGTGGGTTTAGGAGAAGTGTTAGAATGAGCAGTATTACTGGAGTAAGGAGTAAGAGAGAATCCACGTCGACGTGCTTCCTGTCTGGCTTCACGCAGTGTAAGTCCAAGTTTGAATCTGAGAGTTGCTACCTCAGATTCAAATTTGTAGGTGGGACAGCCCCTATAAAATACATTATGGGGGCCGCCACAGTTGGCACATGTGCGTGATTGTGCAGAGCAGTTAGATCGGGTATGGCCAGGTTGGGCACATAATGGGCATCTGGCTGTGGAACGGCAGTGTTTGGCTGGATGTCCTAGACGCCAACAATTTTGGCACTGACGTGGAGGAGGTTGGTATGGACGAACAGGGAGGGATTCTCCTCCTATGTAGACGTTAAAGGGAAGGTCATGTCTACGGAAAGGTAATTTTGGCTATGTTAGTGGGTTTCTTTCGATGACCTCTGGGGGGGATGGAATAGCATTGTACTGATGTTGCATCGTAGTCTGTGAGACAGGCAAGTAGATCTTCTCCACAATCTGACCATTCTTTGTCATAGATTGGGCAATTTGTTGGTGAGATTGAGACTGTTCCGGTGCAAGTATTGAGGGTTGGATGGGGTTCTGCTAGGATGGGGTTACCATATAGGTCAGTTAGTTTTGTTAGTGCTATGGCTTGATTTTCGGATGTTACTGTTACAAGACGGGAGCGGTCGGGTCGGCTACGGAAAGAGACTTTACCTACTTGTTTTTGGAGGCATTGTTGGAAGAGAAGGGTGTTGTTAGAGTAGGGAGCTGTGGGAGGGATCACGAAAAATCGGTCCCATTTGGCTGCACTGAAGAGAGTATTCAAGATTGTTTTAGAGATAGGGGTGGTAGAAGGGCGAGGGCGTGACGAAGATGGAGTAGTGTTGATGGAGGTAGTGTTATGGAGAGGTGGGCTATAAGGCTGTAAGGTATTAATAAGGGAGGATGGGGTGGTTGATGTTGGAGGTTGTGGGGGTAGAGGTGTTGAAGTTGGGCATGCTGGGAGAGTGGAAATGTCCCTTGAGGGTTGATTGTTGGCTACTGTACTAGTAGGCATTGGTGAAGGGGTAGTTATTGTAGTGTTTGGAGCCGTGGTCAAAGGAGAGCCTGGGGTCGGGGAATCGGGTGGGTTTACTTCGTTGGGGCTATTTGATAAAAGACAATGCAAAAGTAGTTGAGGCGAGGGCTGAGGACCAATGTTGAGGTGATACCCTACATTGGGCCTCAATCCCTGTCTCCTAAGCCCCCCAACGACAAGAAGCAAGGGATTAGGAGGCGAGGGGGGGAAGGGATGAAGGCAAGAAGGAAATGGAAAGGAGAAAAGACCATGCAAAATTAGTTGGTGAGGACTGAGGCCCAAGGTAGGGGTTGATCCCGTTATGAAATACATTCTTGTAATTTGTTCCATTAATACTCAGGAGGAACAAATAGGAGGTTATGACCCCTACCTTGGTCCTCAGCCTCCCCTCAATTTTGCTTTGTCTTTTCTTCTCCCCCCCTCTCCATTTCCTTATCTTCATCTCTTTCAGTCTATTTATCCTAATTGTTAACTCATTGTCACCCTTTTTGACAATATTTTATCCTAATGCTTTATGACCCAAAATTCATTTCCCCAAGTCCCACCCTATTACTACATTTTGTATAGGCCACTAATGACCTCAGATGTTGATACAGCAGAACATTTTTAAATGTAAAAATTACCCCTGATGGGGACTGAAGGATGGACCAAACAATGGATAGTATGTCTTCCCAACATACTCCAGGCTTACCATAGCCAATAATGAATTTTTAAATTTTACTTATACCATTATACCTTATTCAGGCAATTGGTCCCCTTTATTTGAGGAACTGAGATGATGAGCAGACAACTGTAAGGGTAACATCACTGAGAGGACATGGAAAACTATTTGGTAAACAAGTAGTTTCCTTGTTTTCTCGCCTACTTGTGCCCACCCATGTGCCTACCAATCATGCCTTTTTCAACTAGCTCATAGACAAAGGCTTCCTGGCTCCCCTTTGTGTAGCATATGGTGCAAAGATTAGCTTAATAAAAGATGTTTATGGATGCCACACAATACTAAGGGAACTACATGGCCATGAGCAAGATTTCAGAAAATATTTAAGAATGAGAATAAGTACTTTTTATAATAGCCATATGATGGAAAAAAACAATAAAACAGCTCAAGTCACCAGGCACTGCCTGGTGATATTGCTCATCAGGCATTCAGGAAATTTGACAATTTACCCCTCAAATGTACCCATTAACAGCAATCGGGCCACTCATCTGGAGAGCCTTTAGACATTACAGAATCCCACTCTTAAAACTTATAAAACCTGTATATATCCTTCACTTGACCAAATGCCCACCTTGCTTATCCCTACTTACCCCATTTACTCAACATTTCTCAACAGTAGGATTAATTTTAAATAAAAAGACCAAGGTACAGCTGCAGTAAAAGTTACTATATGTGTACATGATAGTCAATATATTCAAGTACACCATGTACTACAAAAGATACATTTAGTGTCCTTCCATGTAGTTAATTGGCAGGTTGCATTCTCACATTCTAATATATGGACTGTTAGTTCCAATTTCTAGAGCTGTATGAATTAAGTCAATATTTGCTTAATAGTTTTATAGGGAAGTAAAAGTAAGGTTAGCATCTGATTTTATTACAAATTTTTTTTAAACATCTTTCTACTTGTTTGTCTATAGTGTAGTATACTTCAAGCTAGAATTTCTTACAAAGCTAATGTACATACACAACTAAGTTTCTGCATCATAACCAGTGTTGAAGACCTCTGCCAGCAAGAACCTCTATTACCTATATTCAGTCAACTTTAAAATACACTTTCAACAATAGAACAAGAAGCTAGGCAACATGCCTACTCGAGGTTAACCGACTCTTCAAAGCTGCTACACGGTGCATTATCACTACTGAAGAAACACGACTTCTGCATTACAAATTTTTTTCCCTGGTCTTAACTGTCACTTCAGCTACATGACACCCCAAACTTTCTGGAAAGTGGAGAGAGGATATTAAGGCCATGCACATCAGCTATGCATGCTACTAGTATTCTAAAGCCATTAATGTATCTAGCATCACTTACAGACTTGCAAAATGAAAACCTGACTATGATTCAGATAATTTTTCTGGCCCACTTTTGGCACTTGGTCATCCACATGCGGATGGCAGGTATGGCGAAGAGGGCAAATTTTAATCTATGAAATTAGTAATCAAATTCTTTATCAGTATCAATTAACATACAAGACTAACACATTCTGATATAACTTAAGATACAATCCATCTACTCAATCAAAATTATTTTGGATAAGAGGGTATGTTTATCCAAGTGTTCTCTATTCAACTGCCCAAAAATAAACTTAAGTGTTTAAAAATCTTTCTTATAACAAGCATCATTACGTTCACAAATTAACTAGTTGAGATGGGGCATTTAACAAACCTATCAATGCTCATCTTATAGACAAAAGCTTAGACTAAAGGCCTTTAATAAATGCACTTTATGGCAACTGGTCCAGGAACACCTTTGAACCTGCAGGCCTTCAAATATTTATCCTTCATCCTGTACCTCTACTCCCAATATAATAGATATCCCTCTTCACATACCTGCACTATCATGGTATTTTCATTTCACTCTTGCTTTCCCAAACTTCAAAGGAATAGTTCCAGCTTCCAGTCTTTCTGTAATATAGAAGAAAATTAGGCCATGGATATTTGAAGTGTATGCTAACTACTATTCCAAGGTAAATGTATCTGGCATCACTTACAGACTTGCAAAATGAAAGCCTGTCTATGATTCAGATCATTTTTCTGGCCCACTTTTGGCACTTGGTCATCCATGTGGGGATGTCAGGTATGGCGAAGAGGGCAAATTGGTTACATTTTTGAAACTTGAAGATCAACATATAATCCTATTTAATTTAACCCTGAGATTTCAATTTAAAAGGATGTAAAGTAAATGAGAGCCTGTTATCACAATCTTATATGAAACATGCACTACCCATCACCCAACATACAAGATAACTTAAATGAAAATGCTTTTACATGCCCTTCAAGTTGAATCAGCATTTTTTTTTTATCCAGAAAAATTATGGCTTATGAACAGTAGTTTTTTTTTTTTTTTTTTTTTTTTTTTTTTTTTGGGGGGGGGGGTCCAGCCCCTCAAGAGTAAACTAAAGGTTAATTTATGACCTGTTGGAAAATTCTCCATACTGAAGGCAAGAGCAAAAATAGTGGGAGTTTGGGTTTACAATGCTTCAAATTTTTCACATTTCCATTTGCTGCAGGATATGCTTACATTTATGCCAAGACTGGGCCCACCTGTCTCCCTCTAGGCTAGTGAAGGGGAGATGGGCTAGATTGCCCAACAAAGCTCACTTATTTTAACCAACAATGGATAGTACACAATACACCAACTTTAGATGTCCGACTTCACCTACCTATGCTACTAGCAGCTATTCCACCTCATTCAACTGCCACTCTGGGAATCATTCCAGCTTCTAGACTTTCTGCAAAATAAAGGAAAATTAGGTCATGGACATTTAAAGTCTAGGTTGCTACTAGTATTCCAAGGATAATGTATCTGGCATCACTTGCAGACTTGCAAACTGAAAACCTGTCTATGATTCAGATCATTTTTCTGGCCCACTTTTGGCACTTGGTCATCCACATGCGGATGTCAGGTATGGCGAAGAGGGCAAACATTGTTGATTAAGAAATCAAATAAGCAAATACAGATTAACCTTATAGACCTTAGGGGGGGGGGGGCACCTTGTACCCATTCATTATCAGTACTGCCACATTATGGAAAATGCAATATTAAGAACTGGATATTTACCTCATTTTGTGGTAAATATGAGGTTGTTGAAACTGCACTTCTGTATTACTAATTCCCATGCTTTATAAGATGGCAGTGTATTTCCCTCTATATTTGTGCATCGTTCTTGGTAACGTCAAATTTCAAAATACTTCATGAAGTGATCCCTACTCAATATCATTTCTATGCTCCCAATAAAAAAGATCTCCCTCCACCTACCTGCAGAGTCATGCTGTTATTTCCACTTCACTTTTGCTTTCCCAAACCCCAGGAATAGGTGGAGCTTCGTCTTTCTGCAAAATAGACGAAAATTAGGCCATGGACATAAGAGGCGTATGTTATTATTATTATTCCAATGCTAATGTATCTGGCATCACTTGCAGACTTGCAAAATGAAAGCCTGTCTATGATTCAGATCATTTTTCTGGCCCACTTTTGGCACTTGGTCATCCATGTGGGGATGTCAGGTATGGCGAAGAGGGCAAACTCAGTTACATTTCAATAAATCTATAAATTAATAAAAATCTAAATTAACCTTTAATATTTCAAATTAAAAGGATGAAAACCAGATGAGACTGATATGATCTCATGCAATTCAAATGTTTAGAGGTTATATCACCTACTCCAATACAATTGTCAACGATATGCACTACTTGGCATCCAGTGTCTAGATATGTAAAATGACACTATCTTGGCAAAACTCCTGCTAATTATTATTATTGCACAACTGTAGAAAAGGAAAGCATTATATTACTATCCTGATGCAGCATATTAAATAAACTTAGGGGAGGAGGAGAAAAAAAATGCATATGCAGATCAAGAAAATTGCAAAGGAGAGGCAAAGACATGAGACAACAAGCGTTCATGTGGGGCAAAAACATCCTCAGGAGAATGGCCCACTCGAGTAAGCCTAAGCCTACTGCTTGGATTTCGGCTCATGCTGGCAGCGAGAACCAGATATCAGAGGTTAAATCACAATCGTGCCAATGTAGCCAGACACTGAATGATGGGTAGTGTATCATCCTTTAGTCCTATTTTGCTACTCCCAAACTAGGCTAGGTTTGCCTTCACCTACCTGTGCTACATGCTGTTATTCCACTTCACTCATCTGCAATACGCCATGAACAAATCCAGTTTCCAGACTTTCTGAAAAGGGAAAGATAATTAGGTATTGTACACTGTATGCCACTGTCATATAGAAGAAAATTAGGCCATGGACATTTGAAGTGTATGCTAACTACTATTCCAAGATAAATGTATCTGGCATCACTTGCAGACTTGCAAAATGAAAACCTGTCAATGATTCAGATCCTTTTTCTGGCCCACTTTTGGCACTTGGTCATCCACATGCGGATGTCAGGTATGGCGAAGAGGGCAAACTCGGTTACATTTTAACATTTGGGAATAAATGTATCAATATAAACAAGTTTAAAATTCAAAGTGATCTAAATATCCCAGACTAACAGAACTACAGTAATCCATCCACGACAATTTTTTTCTTTTTTTAAACGAGCTGCTTAGCATATTTTTACATCATAATTACACTAAATTTGGGGGCATCAAAAGACCTCTAACAAAAACCTACAGGCAACCCAAGTATTTCCTTTAACAAAAAAATATATTTCAATTATTCATGGTGTGATGTATGTGAAGCTCCTGTTCATCATAGATGTCCAGATCAGGAAACAGTGAAAGCTTTGGCAAATGTTTTACAGAGCAACCATATGCCTTTCCACATCTTGATGCAATTATTATGTTAAATGTATATAAAAATAACAGGTTTCTTATCATAAGCAAAGTAAAGTCATTACGGTCATTATATCCTTTACAGGTGGGGTTTACCTTGTACATTAAAAGGTGGTTTGACAAACTATGGTAATTCTACTTTTGCAGGTACTCTCAACCTAGCCATTATCACTTGTTTTAATTATTTACAAATGTGACTTTTTTCAATCAGTGATACATGAAAGTATTGGGAATAATGGAAAAGTTTAAAACAGGACCACATCCACCAGACAGTTACCTACCCAAAATACTGAATATATTGCCCATCTTAAAATCATAACACAAATAAAAAAACGTTCCTAGTACCTAACTCCAACCAGTTTATCCTTTAACCATGTAAAGCAACTTTTTATAATATAGTAGTAGTACAATATTTTTTACAATAGAGATGCTAAGATTAAGACCTAAATACCACAATCCCAAAATCTATTTCAGGGATGTAAGTACCCAAAGGGAGCATTGAGGGGGGAGGGGGGGGAGGTTGTATTGCTTCCCAAATGCCCTCCTGCAAAGGTCTTCACCTCGGTACACATGGCAAGAGCGCCGAAATATAGGACAACCAAATGGACTTCGAGTGAGCGGCATTTATTGTGATCTTCATTTGTGGCGTTACCATTCGAGTCCTTTTTTTTTTTTTTTTGTGCGTGCTGATAACTGCAATTTCTTGTCATCTACATGAATATTTAGTACCTCTATTATAAATGAAACTATAGAACTTTAAAGCATCGGTTGCCAATATCCTATATTTTTAGTAAATGTTTAGAGAGTAACTAGTCCAGGCAACCACAAACCTGACTGATTTGCCTATTATTACTTCATGCGTCAGTGAATCAAGTTTTTCCCCTTGGGCGATCTTTGCATAAATAAACCGAGGCATTAGTTTCACAACCTCCTTATTCTGGAAAATTTTTACCTTGTACCATATGGCTGCTTGAAAAAAATATATCCAAGAGTAACATCAAAAAGGGGCGCAACAAATCCCGCACGGATAATGAATGACAGAAGATTGTAAAAATTAGGTACTTCACGGCAATTGCAGAACACAAGTTGCAATCGAGTCAGGATTCCAAGAATTTCAGATTCAGGAACAGGAGTTTTGGTTAATCTTTAAAAGTATTGACACTAAGCCTATTTTGCAAAATTACTAACGTTTTTGTAGGGAACTAAAAGCCGCAGTTGCTAGTGCAAGAAATAATCCTCAAATGCAAATACCAACACCACAAAAGGAAGCCCGAAGATTAAGTCCAGTCGTTCTCCCGAGTCTCTGTCCCGTCTTCCCTGCATACCCCTTATAGGCTGGGTTTGCCATGGAGCGTTGGGGTGCAGATCTTCCTCCCCTTCCCTCCCCCTCCATTAACCCCCCCAGGTAGAACCCAAAGTCTGCAGGTAGAGACACAGCAACTTAATCTTCTAATAAATTTTCTCGAGTTTCAGGGCAGTCAAGTAATGAATTACCTTAGTATTGCACTACCATGGATAAATACCATCTTTTAATTATTATTATTATTATTTTAGAGCTGGTTGTGCGCATTACAGGCATATTTACCAAATGACAAATGGCTTTTTAAGAAACAATATCCCTATGCCAATAAGCCTTCCCAAGGGGCATTTCCTACCCAATATTCCCTGAAAAGAGTCAACCCCTCAGAACTACTCTCTCATTTTTTTTATTTTCTCTTATAATTCTACACAACTGAACATGAACACAATAACATTACAAAAGAGAAAATAAAAACTTACCGAGACACTAAAGAGCCACGTCGGTCCAAACCCCAACGGCCGCCCACGTGCTCCTCCGCCTCTCTTCCACGACGCCATTTTCTCTTAATAATTTCGAACCGACCTGTAAATAAAGCAAAAGAGAAATGAGA